GGACCTTCACCTGGAATAATTTTAGAGTATTTTAGATGGAATGAAAGCTTGAGGATGACTTTATTCTGTCTTTCTCCACCCATGAAAGTAGATGCATAAGCATCTTTTTGCTCCTCTTAAAATCAGTCTGGGAGCTTCCTGGCCACTTTCCTTGACAGTTTATAATGTATGGGCACTCAGATTTTTGGTCCTGTTGCATGCTCCAAAGCACTCCTTTTCAATCATGAAGTTGATATGTGGATCACCATGTAGCACAAGGAATGTTTGGTAAAAGTCACTAAAAGTATGAAGATTATGATTCTAATTAAAAATATATATATATTGGTATTTTTAGCAAGATTAGTAAATTATCTAGCAACATTAACTCACCCCTCTTATGCACATTAAACTTCAAGCAGGAGCATATTTTAAATTCTAAATTTCCCAGAACATGTGATGACAGGCAATGCTTAAGAGTAGCAAAACCTCTTTCCCAGCAGAGTTTTCAACAACACCTGGCACACGGCTGGGTCTTAGAAGCAGGCTATGATGGCTCTGGGGTTTGTCTGCCTACTCTGGCCTCTCATCTTCTGTCTTCGGTTCTCATTGAAACATCTTCCTTCATCCTTGTGGTCCTGTTGGGTTTTTATCATGAGGCCCCTTACCCTGTACCACAGATAAGGCTGGGTCTTTGACCCTGAGTGGCCCATTCAAGTACATCATCACTCAGTACAGTGCTTAGTTTATAGATAGATGCATGACTCAACGTCTGGGGTCTCTGAGAAGGAAGCCAAACAGGACAGGCTGATGACATCCTCGGAACCACTGTATCCAGCTGCTCTTGAGGTCCTCAATCAGACTTCCCAGTTAAGTGAAACAACATAGTCTCTTTTTGTTTAACTAAGTTTGTGTTGGATTTCTGTTACTTGCAACCAAAGGAATCCTAATTCATAAAGTATTTTGTTTAAAATAATATTAACCTCTTCTTTTCTTTAACATCTGGGGTTGTAACACATGCTTATTTACATGCTTACAATTTTAATGACATATATGAGTTCAAGACACATTTAGCCTAGAAGATCATGTCAAACAATTCTTTATTTTTTATGGTAAAAATTAAAAGTGACAGATCTGAAGCTGTTAAGAAATACACAAAGTGCAGCTTTACTGATCATACAGATATTGCTCTAGATTAACAGTTTTGTCAGGTTTTTTTGTTTGTTTGTTTGTTTGTTTTGTTTTGTTCAATGTTAAGCAACCTGTGCAGATAAATCAACTTTGGTTTCAATGTCAGAGCAAGTAAGGAGCTTTTAAATATCCAGTTTGGCTTCTTGGTCACAAGTCCATCATGTTAATCTCATCATGATGATTTTTCAAAACAACCCAGTCTGTTTTCCAGCCCTCCAGCCTTCTGCCTGCTCTAGGCATGGAGAAGCAGCTCCTTTGTGGTGCCTCATCAGTGACCCTGGTGACCAGTCTAGATCACAGCATGTAGGACAAAAAAATCACTTTAACAACAATTAAACAAATGTGCCTCAAGTACTTTCAAGTTGAAGACAAGCAAGTCACATGACAAAAAAACTCATTACAAAATGTTATCCAAACAGATTTTACAGTCAAACATTTAAGTAAAAATCAATTTCCTTTTTCTCCATTTTTTTAAAGCTTGGTCTTTAACTGGGTACAAGTAGACTGCTGAGGTAAAACACTGATGAACAGTTTGTATTTCTTATTTTTTTCTTAAAATAGGAACAGTTTAGTATTGTGAGATTGTCAGCAACATTTAGCCATATCTATACAATGTGCATATACCTACAAATACTGAGCTTTGGTCCAGCATAGAGAAGATGAGCAAAGGCATTTTACAATTTCTTTTTGGTTATAGCTTGAGTTCTTTGATATGCCTCTACTTGTTCATTTTTTTTTTTCTTTTTCTAGCTCCTTTTGCCTTTTTGTTCTCTCTTTTGGTGTGTGTGTGTGTGTGTGTGCTCACGCACGTGCGGGCGACAACATGTGTATTTATGTGATTACAATATAAAGAAACCAAAACCTTGCAATGCAATTAAAACTCTCAACTGTTCAAAATGTCTTTTGATTGAAAAAAACTCCCACAAACAAGTGTAAAATATAACATCAGTTGTTTCTCTTTTTCATCAAACAAGAAAATGAAGATTGCAATAATTTAAAAATATGTAAGAAAAATATTGAAGCTTGAAATACAATCACATATGTCCAAAGTGGCTTTTATGTTTTGTTAATGGCAACCTTAATCTTCAGTTCATGAAAACATAAAAACACACAAATACTATTGGCATATGAAGTTGTTTACAAGTGGAAATAAGATATGTTGTAATAAAATTAAGCAACAGCTGTGGTCCTGAAGATTTGTATACACAGTAAAATTTATTTTCTTAAGAATCTGTTTAGGCACCTTTTTATGCCTTGTAGCAAAAAATTTATCTGTAAAAAATTAATATAAGAAGCATTACAACACTGTATAAATAACTTATAAAACAATACAAAATTATAAAACTATAAAAAAAATCACTGCACATGAATGGGTTTACGACTGTGGGATAAATATATTTCATTCTGGAAGACTACTTTTATTTTATATCTTCACTGTCCTAGTTATATCTTCTCAATTACAGGTCCCCAAACTGAGCAGGCTTATGTAACTGCTGCTAGTATATTTTTAAACATTTAGCATTCATCATGTTATCTTGTTAATTTTTCTTTGGGAGCTTTTCTTGATGGAATCTGGAGCAGGTCTTGGAGAATACATAATCTCATCAATACACTTTTGGATTCCTGGGTTTTTGTACGGTTTTTGAGGTGGTGAAAGAGGTACCATGATGTCGTTGCCATTGAAGATCAAATTAGCTTTGGTCCAATTAGCATCAGACGGGCAAAATGGAAACACCTTTGTAAGTGACTGCTTCCACTTCCAGGATTTTTCTTTTAGAGTTTCCTTGTTGGTGATCTCCTGATTGCTTCATGAATCACCTGGAAGGAGGGGGACACTTATACAATTGCATTTACACAACCAGCAAAGGGGTCACCAGAAGAGACTCAAACCCTTATCAGGGAGGCAAGATGTCATTTCTAATCAGCTGGGCAACTTGAGGTGGGCTTTCTCTTTTTTCTTTTACAATTTACTTGTAGAGAGTACATGAGCATGCTTATTAATGAATTATTCAGAAATATTTACATTTTAACAGCAGGCATATTGATGGTTTTATTTCCCCTGCTCCTTTAACTGAACACCTTTTGCCTATACCTGTAGAAAATACCAACCACAGGTTCCAAATGCTCACCTGCACAACCATCCTCCCTTCTCACTTTTCCTTCTGGCTTATTAGGTTATTTTGGCCCACAGATCTTTTGAGTAACTTATTTTGAAAAATGAAATAGTCCCTAAGTTTTAATAGTGAAGGCTATTCTGACGTGTTAGACAAGCCACTCTGTATTTTTCCTTTGAGAGGAGGCACTTCATTGTTAAAACTTCTTTTCCTCTGGAGAACTCAGAGCCCAATTCCAGTTGTTTAAATTTGCCAACTTTCTGCTCCATTTAAATATTCCAAAAACAATTGCCCTCCGCCACCCCCCCACCCCCCGAAAGTCTGCCATTGCTACTGGAATGAAAGTAGTAGCAGAAAAGATGGGATTTACAGGATACATGAAGGCCTTTAAAGATCCAGTCACTATCTCTTTCTTTTTGGCCTGTTTTCTTTGCTTGTGTTTATGTGGGTGTGTGCATGCTATGTGTGTATTTTGGCTGAAATCTTGAGACATTTCTTTGGCTATCAGACTTCTGAGAGAAATTGGTTTGCACAGAAGCATAACATAGATGTAAGTATTGAACCAAATGTGCAGCTTATGTTTGTTTATATTACAAAATTAGTTTTGATCAGCTCTCCATGTACGTGGCCAACAGACTGAGAAAAAAAATCCCAAGCTCTGGTGTGGACAGTGAGCACAATTACAGCTTATGCTATTGTTGACAGTTCATCGAGCAAAGCCCTAGTTATTTTAGAGTCTCTCTTGCATTTCACTGGGATCTGGGTGGAAAAGACACTGTTTCCACTCTGTGGCCTTGGATCCAGCAAACTGGAGACCACGTATAAGGGAGATGGAAAATGGAGGAAAAAAGAGAAATGCAAGCTCCATTTTCTTTTTTCAAACCCACAAGTCATAGTGAGAAGAAAGCAACAAATGCTTTGGCACACAATCCAGGATGCCTCCTCTCCCAGCAACAAAGAAAAAAAAAAAGAAAAAAGAACCCTGTCCAGCCAAAGTAAAAACAAATAGCAAGCTTCTCAGAACGGCATCGACAATGGCACCCACTCCAGAAGTGGTGACAACAGGCTGGAAAGATGGGAGAATCAGGCTTCCTAGTTTTCTGTTAAGTACAAACGTAAAAATTCGTAACACAGTTTGACACGCAGAGAAGAGCAGACTGACGACCGCATTTGCTATGACTTTGGTTAATAGGTTTCATAATGAATCAGCACTTAGAACCTGAAGGAATGCAGCCTCTCCTCCAGGTGGCAGGCTTGTATTTGCTTTGAACAGATCAAAGTTTTTACTGGGTGTTTTGTTTGTTTTTTTTGGTTTAGTTTTGTTTTTCTTTTTCCTTAAAATGTGTTCACATTTTCATAATATACAGAAAATGTATGTGGTTATTTGGTTCACTTTTAGTCCATTAAAAAACTGGCTTTGGGGAAACAGGTGGGGGAGGGAACTATCCTACCACACACACCTGCAGTGTGGTGCACTTCTTGTTTAAAATTTTCCCAAAAATTTGTTTGTTTTTTTTTTGGAAAACCAATGGACATGTATAAACCATTCTGTCCACTTGGTAGTTTTCTTAGTCTTCTACTTCCAAGGAGGAGGAGTAGGGCTATTTTTAAATTTTATTTTTAATTTATTGTTTGTTCGTTTGTTTGTTTATTGGTGGAGTCCCAGGGGTGGAGTTTAGTTTCTGTGGAATTTGCTTCTGATTCTAGGTGAATATCCCTTTAGGAATGTTCTTCAAGAGAGTCTGTTAAGGGCTCCAGGGGGGTGGCTGTGGCAGGCTCGTGCTGTTTTAAGCGTTTAATTGTGTTCTTCAGGGCTTGCCTCTTATTGCAGAACCAAACTCTAACTACTTCCCGGTCATAGTTCAGCTTTTCGGCAATTTCGGTCATTTCTTGCCCGGAGGGGTGTGTGTTCTTCTCAAAGTGGGCATTGAGGATCTCAAGGGCCTGGGGTGTGAAGGAGGTGCGCCGCTTGCGCTTTTTGGATGGTTCACTCCCGATAAACTCGGTCAGGTTCTGCATGCCTGCTCGATGGCGGGCCTCAGCCTCAGCCATCCACCGCTCAAGCACCGGCTTGATCTTCTGGGCACTTTTAGGGGTGATGTCCAGCTTTTCAAACCTGGCAGGATACAAAAGGCCAGGGTTCAGTTTGGCTGTCAGACTGCTAGCTATAGTGTTCTCTTGGGCTTCCTGTGGTAGGAAAAAGTGGCTTCTCAGGATGGTGTGTCTGGGGGGAAAATTGAGAAAGAACAGTCTTAAACTGAGTCCCCTGCCAGGGTGGGCCTCCTGCCTGCCTGCCTGACTGACTGGCAGAGCGAATTCACTCCAGATTATCAGCCAGCTGCAAGGTAGCTGTCCCCGCTCAAGCCAGCACCCACCCTCCCTGCATGCTTCATGCCAGTGCATGCAGCCCCCCGCCCCCCACAAACACAGATCAGGGCGAGGAAGGTGGAGACAGCGCAACACACAAGCCTTCACAACAGAAACAGAACAACTCCTAGATCTTTTTCCTGTGAACTCGTGAGATATATATAAGCTTTTATTTTAATCATACACCACTTTCTCAATCTTCAGACTCCTAAGGTAAAAATTAACACCAGAAAGTGACATCAATGACAACAGCTGTCTTTTTCTTTCATTTAAAATGATTATTTTTATGTTTTACATTTGGTTTTCCTTAACTTCCCCATTGATTTGACTATAGAAATATTACATCTATTATAATAGTGATGGCACCTAGGACAAGTTTCTTTTACAGCTCTCCTTTCATCTCTGTTTATGTCTTATTTTAATGTCTCTCCTCTTTCTCTCAGTCTGTCTCTCTCTTCCAGTCCCAATCCTCAGGTAACAAACAATTTGCACCATATACAAGTCAACAACATGTTCCTTTTTCAGGTAAAATATGTCCTGTTGCTACTTTACTGCTGGACTCAAACAGCTGGACATATTGTAATTACTGTGAACACCCATCCCCGGATGTGCGACAGCCACCTTGTGCCTTCCAAACCCTGTCCAGCATAAGTGTACTTTTGCACCAGGCATCAGGCTATGCTTAATGTGTGCTATCTGCAGACTGTACTTGAATATTATTTTCTGTAAATGAGGCCTTCTGTATATCAATTGCTATCAGCAATTCTTTGCTATACTGACTTTAAAAAATAGGAAGCATCTTGGACAAAATTATTTAAGTGTTTTAACAGGTCATCCTGGTATGAAACTTATACTCATTTTCAATAAAATAGAAAAACATACCAATTCCTTGTGTTTGTTTGTTCTAAATCCAAGTTCACAACCCCCCAGTACAACAACTTTGGATACATAGAATTTTCCTCTCTCTTTTAAAGTTCAGTGCTATTGAAAAACAACCATTTGACTGCAGAGTGCATCTTATTACAATAATCTGTTTTCATAGAGCTAAAATGAACCTGCTTTAGTCAGTCAGAGTATGTTTTATAAGGATGCTTGCAAAAGGACACAAAAGGATAAACTTCCTTTACGTGCCATTATCTTATTTTTGGACCTGCATTTGCGATAGCTTATGTTGTGATAAACAGAGCAAATATTATCACATTTTAATGTGATTCTTACAGCATTCACTTCCAAGCATAGTTTGAGGAATTATTTGTTTATTTTATAAAAAAATAAAACAACTTCCAGTACTGGTCAAGAGGGAAGAAGTACATTTTGCTTTCAATACAAAATGAACAAATCTGTAATGTTGTTTAATGAGCTCATCACTTGTGGCAAGCTTCCCCAGAGCTCTCATTGTCCTGTTAATTGCCACCATTCACTATAAAAGCCCTAAAGCTCAAACTCCTGATAGTATAACAACAGGCTTTACAGCACCTTGGCACAGGGAGAAAGCTTATGATAGGGTGTCCAGTGTATTGGTGGTGTTTTTTCCTCTGTGTCTCTAATAAGGAAGGACTTATCAAAACAGCATCTGGGAGTCCCTGCAGCTAAGAGGGAAGAAGTGACACCTGGGTATGCAGGATCAAATGCAGATTTCTTTTTCACCTTTAAATTAACTTGAATTGTTTCTATGTCAGATTTTGGTTTCTTTCAAGAACTTTCTTTTTTTTTTTTTTTCTTTTCATGGTAGTGAGCTACTAAAATTACCTCACTGAAATACTAGAAGCTACAGAAAGGCCAAAGAGGCAAGGAATCTGACATATTCTTTTATACAGTGAATTCTCAAGGTCTCTTCTTATTTCAGCCATAGCTTTTTTGGCCTCCTCTGTAGGAGACTTTAGAAATCAACATATTTGATTGCGAATGCCCAAGAAACACTACCTATCAGTGAAAACATTACCACTTAAACCAATAGAAGGAAATCAGATTTTAGGACTAAAAATAAGCCAAAGAGGACTTTAGTAACAATAGCAAATTGGCAACAACTTAAAAACCTGTGGCTGCCTGTATCACAAGGCTGTCAAGATGAAGCAAAATTAATGTTTCCCAACAGGGAGCAACAGTATTCTTATCATTGATGCTGCTTGTTAGTGTTGATGCTTCTGTACATATTGTTTGGAATAACATGCACAAGCTTTGAAACAAATTTCCCAGCAGTAGTATCCTTGTGTAGACTGAATAAAGGTTATTTTCTACAGGGAGGTATCTTATAAGAAAAAACAGTAGGGGAGGCCATAGAAGTGAGAGGATCCTATGGAGCTTTTTGTATTTAACAACAATCAATGGGTTTTATGGAAAATCATTGAGCAAAATGTAAGCTGCAAGCTACTACCCCATACTGATGTTATTTATAACCTTAGTCTTAAACTGCAGGAAAAGTACACTTCTGTCCTTTGGGGAATACATTAAAAGTATAAAGAGCAGATAAAAAGACAGCATTTCATGGATCACCAAGAACAAAATCCACTTAAATAAGTTTAGAGTTGGTTTCTTGGCTTTTCCTGATGGAGGAGGACTCATAAGGCATTGCCCAAGAGGAAAAAGCTCTTACAGAAGTGCCTTTGTTACCTCATGCATAAACAGGAGATTAGTGCAACACACACATGCATGCACGGGTTTGCTTCTGGCGGCTTGACCCAGATCAACTTGAACACAACCAAGGCTGGATTCTGTCATTTTATTTATTTTAAAAAATATTTTTTTGAAGGGGACAAGATTAGGCCAGATTTTCAGTAGCCTTTTTTGAACCATGTAAAGCAGCTGCTTCTTTTTTACAATGTGCTTTTAAACTTGTGTTTGAGAAGGTACATAAAAAAATTCCTTCAAGGTCACAAGGTGGTTACATTTTTTTTTTAAGGTGAGTTTTCTTGGAAAATCCTGATAGCCATCCCTTAACATAAATGGTGGGAGCATTAACAGCAATTGGGACTGGCAGCTTTACATTTGCATAGGACACCCATCTGCAGACAGGAGACACTGGCTGTCAGCTGCATAGGAGGGTGGGATAGTATATTTCCAATGAAACTGCCTTGGAGGTTCTTTGTGAGTTGATAGGAGTTATCAAGCCGGGCCCGCAAATCTGCGTTAGCAGCTTAATTTCCATCAATATCACCAATTTCAACATATAGCCACCCCAATGTTTGTTCCCACACTTTACCCCTCCAGCTTTGCCCACCCGAAGAATCAAAGCTGAGTTGAAAGGACAAATGAGGCCCAGGCCAGCCAGGAGAGGTGACAGCATGCGGGCACGGGTTACCTGCAGATGGCCGACTGGCTGTACGCAGGGCCCTCTGTAGCACTGAGAGCCTGTCCCACCTGAGTCTGGGTCAGGCCAAGGGACAGGCGCCGGATTTTAAAAGCTTTGGCAAATTCTCGGATCTCCTCCAGATTAACCCCATCCACCTCACCCGTTGCTGTTTGAGGATCTGTAGAGATGTTTTTAAAAATAGGATCAATAGGTCAGCACACATCAGAGTAATATCTGCTTATTATGGTTTATGGGAAAATGGCCCTCTTTAATAGCAGAACAGTGGGGAAACCAGCCTTGCATGATGTTCCCTTTGTCTCCCAGGTGAGGCACCAAAGCCTGCATCCTCAACTCACTATACCTCCACAAATTACCCTTCAAGATATTTCTATCCCAGATGAAACCACAGGTTGCCCACACTGACACTTCCACAAAACAAGAACATGTTCCTTAGAGCTGAACAAATAGCCAGAGCAGGAAGATACCTGCTATGGGGGAGGCAACTCCATTTTGCCCATAAATATGTTGAAATATTATACAAATATATAAAATTGGAAAGGTTTCTATTTGAAATGTCTTAATTGGAATCTTTAGGTCTAAAAATTACCCTTGAAGAAAATAGCATTTTGTGTTTTTCCTTCATGCAGTCATCAATGCAGCCAGGGTAACAGATGGTAACACTGCCCAATTTCTTATGTTCACATTAACCCTTCAAAAGAGCGTGCTTATGAAGCTATGAAGATATGCCACCCCCACAAAGCAGTTTACTGACACAGACACCATTGCCCCTGAAAGGGCACATAATAAAAAAATACCTACCACAGGAAGGCTCCTTTGGTGCCAGATAACTCGGTCAATTAAGGACTTACCAAGGGAAGTGACACAGCAGCTGGAGAATGAAACTTTCCTCCCCTGGCTACTGATCCCTGGATAAATGAAAGCAGTGCCAAGCTGGAGACAGCATGGGTTGTGGATGGTGGGAGATTTCAAAGTGCTACTTGATCCTGCCTGGAGCAAAGTCATTCTCCCTGCCTGTGACAGTATTGTCCTTCACCTCATTCCTAGGACTCGGTGAGGTTTTTCTCTTCCTCAGTCTGCACAATAACTCATCCATGTCAGTAAGTTTGAGCACTTGTCTAAGGATTGTGGTGGACTATGTTGCTTTTCTGGGCTCAGGGCTTTAGACACTCTTGTTATCATGAAAAAAAATAAATATTTACATCCCAAGGGCCAATTTTTCAAGGATTTAAAAATCGCCACAGCCTGGCGCAGCTTGAAGGATTGGCTAAGGATTCCAGGAGGTTACATCTACACACAGCAGCCTGGGAGCCCTTCTCTCATTTCTTCCTTTAAAAAATTCCTAGAGCAGAAGTTGCAAATGAGCAGCCTGCAAATAAAACTCAGCTTTTCTAGTACTTACACATTGTTTTAATTACTTGTCAACATTTAAAAACTGGGAGGTTTCTAAAGAAAAATCTAGATTTTTCATGTTCTTTTGAAATGTTAGAAGATTTGGGTGCACCAAAGCTATATTTGAACCTGGAAACAACCGGTCAGCTAGAACTGATTCTGGCTGCCCCTTCAGCTCATCCTCATCATCTCCAAGCCCTTCTCAGGCCCTGCTTCCTTGCTGAGCCTGTTTTGCATTCCCAAGGCAAGAATGGTTCTGGGTGGTGGTGGGGAAGGTAGAAAAGTCTCAGATAGTACAATGGTTGTGGCCTCCCAAAAAGCCACAGTATATAAATAGAACAGGGGTTCAGTATATCTGTGGTAATTAACATTTCATGGGGGAAGGAGGGCAATTAAGATTAAAAAAATGTATAAAAAGTCTCCTTGTGAGATTGGGGGTAGGGATGGGAGGTCTATAGTAAAATAATAGTTGAAACACGCTGGTTTATAGCAGAGAGGCACACTTGTACAAAATGGCACAGTGAAAGAGTGCCTGGCCTCTCTCCAAGAGAAGGAAGAGGGGCTTGGCCGACTTACAAGTGTGGGCAGTGGAGGTCCAAAACTGAGGGTGAAAGAATGGAAGCCAGGGACTTCCTTGTTAACAGTATGGCTTTTTGGAAAGGTGGTTTGCTTAATTTGGCAGGTGTAAGAGTTACCTGGGGTCCAGGGATGTGCACTTTTAACAAGTACCACAGGTGATTCTGAGGCAACGTATCCACTGACCCCACATACAGAGGCCTTCTCTGTGGCTTGATTATGACCAGGTCTGGGCCTGGCATCCTCCACAGCATGTCAGTCTTTTTAATTCATCTACCATTATTATTCACCAGGTTCCACCACATAGAAACCTTGCTCTACCACTTGTGTAAGACCAGTGGGCCAGAAGGGAGGGGATCCTGGTCAGACACCCAGTCCGTGCCCTCCCCCACCCAAACCCCACCATATATAGCAAGTGGCAAACATCTGGGTGCCAATGGGCTGGGGTGAACAGTGCAGTCTGGAGTTGGGGGGATAGTTTTTCTCTGAGTAAGCTAAGTAGCCCCTGTGGGAAGTAAAATTGTTGCTTTATATTAGCCTCATTTCTAGATCAATGGGAATCAGTTCAGTTAACCAGCAAGTGAGAGGTAGGTCTTTAATCTGGAAGGATTTCCCTCACCTACTCCAGTCCCAAGGCCTGCACTACCATCAGATTTAGAGTGCAGTACCAGGCAGACTTATTACTTGGACTGAATTTTATGTAAATCCATTCTATCTTATTTCTCCCTCTTTCCCTGCTGTTTTTATTGTTTGTCTCCTTACCAGTTCCTTGAGACCAGGAACTAAATCTGTGTGTGTGATTGTGCAGGTTGTTTTTTGCCAGATCATTGACAATAACCAGAGTTGCAAAAAAAGCTGTGGACTCTTACTCCTGCACACTAAGCAGTGTTGATATCAAACTTCATTCTAAAACTCACAGAGGTGGGTGCCTGCCCCACTGAGCCCAATGGCTTCCATGAGGCCCCACACAGACATTCATTACACCGGAGACTGAATTCCTTCTTCCTCCTTTCACGTTTACCACTCTTGTCTTTTTCATGGATCTACTTATAGAACTGGTAAGATAGATTTCTTGTGAAATTTAAATAGTGTAATGGTTTATTGGACAAAGGCCCAAGGAGGAGAAATCAGTATCACATTGTGTAATTGTTGATTTCTGGAGATAAGCTGCTTGGCTTTCTTTATATTAGTGTTCTTATCCATAAAATCAGATGGCAAAATGTATTATTATGGTTTTGACCCATGGGTCTCAAGTCCACAATAGTCTTGCCATCCAAAGAAGGGCTCACCGGTGGACAAATATTTGTTTTACCCTGATTACCACTTGTGTGACTTCACACATTGAGAGAGTTCATTAGATGGTGCTTATGAGATGTTTTGAATTAATTAAAAAGCTGATGCTATCTTTTTTTTCTAATACCAAAGTTTCTGTCTTAAACTCTTGAGGTTTTTTTCCCACTGTTGGAACAGTTCCTCTTCCTAAAAGGATATATGGGAGGGCAAAAGGTAGGTTTTGATTAAAAAATACAAGAATGAATTCTGTGTTTTGCATACTCACAACTGTAGACCTACATTTGCCCACCCCTCTATGCTTTTCTGGTTGAGCAGGGGAAATGGAAATAACAGGTGAATGTGGTAAATGGAAGCTCTCCTGGAATGTCACCTCAGCTCTCAATTTAGCTCAGAGGTTGACATTACACCCAGGGATATGTCAGTCTGGCTTTCTGTCATTCATTCTCCTGGTTGTATCAGTTTTAAGGATGAATCTGAGGCCATTTTGATGGGGACCTCAGATCTTACACAGGGTGTATTCAGCACCTTCAACCAGCTCCAGGGCACTCTACTCTGGGGTTTCTCTGCACTGAAGAGGAAGTGGCACCTTTTATAGAAATTTGCTCTAGATTAAGTCAGCCCAATATATTAAATACACAGCCAGAAGCACTAGCTATGACTGCCAGGGTCCACCCTGAATCTTGTCCTTGTTAGAAGAGCCGGAAGATTAACCTATATGGGGACTAACTGGCTTGGAGATTTAGAATAAACTAGCACTGAAAATTGTCAGTGACTCGTAATATAGTGATGATGTTTCCCAAATTAATCTGGAATGTGAAAAGTAAAAATATTTTTATGTGAGCTAGGTGCAAATTATGTGAAAACAAACCTGCTCTGTAGGATCTGGTTGTATGGTCACCGGGCCAATACTAAACTGAGTGCTCAGGATGAACCAGGATAGATGTTTTGTTTAATTTTAAAATCTAGCTCCTTAGCCTGGACATCCATGTAAGGGGTTGCCAAATGTGTTGTTGAATAATCACCACCTCTCAACATCACCCTTCTATAACCTCTGCTTGTGAGATTGTTAGAGAAGAAATATGCATCTTTAAAGAAACTGTCAAGTATGCCTTATGTAAACATCCATCTGCTTTAATTGTAAGTCATGGGCCCAGGCTTTTAAAAATATTCAAAGATATTCATGTGATTTGATATATTTTGCCATTCAAATTTTACTGGATAAAATTTATGTGTAAGCATTCTGTCTTTTATAACAGCTCTGGTATATAGAATGTGTACAACCCACTGACTCAGACTTCTTGGGTTTTCATCCTGGCTTTGTCACCCATTATATTTGTCATACAGTATGTCACAGTCTCTCAACTAAGACTGAATTTGGTTCCTCTGACATAAGATGGCCAATATGGGTTGTACATTTCAGGATCTATTTGATGGTACCTTCAATATCTAAAAACAAGGATTTACAATACCTTGTTGTGAGTATTTAAATGAGTAAAATATTGAAAGCCCTTTGAAATCTCTACAAGTTCAAACAGTAGTTTGAGAAAATACTCCATGTACTATTTATTCATTAGAATATTCTCCATGTGCTGTTTATTCTGTATTTGGGTTTTGAGACAGAAGGGAATTAACTAAATAACATGCTCAAAATCCGTAACAACTGTAAGTCCAGCAACGGGTTTGTGTAAAATCTGATGCTGGGTGGTACTGCTTCATGTTTTCATATCTTCCAGAGAAGGCTCCTCCTTCAGGCTCTGCATGTGAGTTTTGAGTTTCCACCTTCAAGTTTATGTGGTAAAGCAGTCTCTCTCCCCTAGTTCTTTATATTTTATATCAACAATATGTAATATGGTTCACTCATTATATACCTAGAACTTAGATGCTCTGTTGGCCACTGTGGAATTAAAATTCCATTTGACCCATTAAGTAGCTCTGTTACTGATTTCTGAAAAACGAAAAATCCTTCTCTGCTCAGCTTGAGACAAGTGAAAACCCAGTCCCATCATCCACCTGTATGTGCATTCATTCACTCATTCATCTCTCTATCCATCCAACATGTATTGAGTATTTACCTTGTGTAAAATGCTGTATTTGTGAGGTTGTCTGTACTTTTATTTCACATTTAACTTATTCTTCTCAAAAATCAAAAAATGTTTGATTTTGGTTTCTTTCCTTTAAGAACCAAAGCTTAACAGCCTATCCTAAATTTATGGCCTTGCTGCTATTTAGAAATATAATATTTTGCAAAAACTTATACAGAATATCAAATTGGAATAAAGTTTGATTTTCCCCCCACAGCAACCCTATGAGAAGTTTTTTTATTGAAGAAAAAAAATCTGAATATAAATTAATTTTATTCATGATTTTATTTAAGTAAGACTAGAGTTTCTGGCCTAAATGAGAGGGGTTGTTTATCTAAACAACCTAAAATGAAAGGCTGATGGCAAACTCCATATGCATCCTGAAACTCGGGTGTTGACCCATCTTTAAGATCAAGAACATTTAGGCTAGTTGACTGAAGTACTTGGGTATTTTATTCTATTTCCATAATCCTTCATTCCACAAGCATTTAACCTGTATGAATTAGCTGTAAAATTTGATGTATGTGTAGGTATATCTGTATATCACATATATACTCAACATGTGTGTGTGGATATATATACATATATGAACATATATTCTTTTGGGGGAGAGTTTCTTGTAGGGAGAGGACATGGCAACCCATCATTTGTTGGGCATTATTAAACTTGCCCCATGATATGTGAGGATCATTACTATTCCTATTATAATGGGTCATTCATGACACTTGACCAAACAGCGACTGTCACATTTGTCCTTGTTTTATAGCACAGATGCCTATGCAGTGCTTTAGCCCTTTAAATCCATAACTACTGGAATTTTGGTCCCTGGAGAATTACAGTCTATGCACATGTTCTGCGATTTTATATATAAGTAAAAAATTGTAGAATGTGAATAACTAACATTAAATTAGACTACTGTCCCATTCTTCTTAACATGTTTCTATTTGTGATACATATGCTGTCTTCACCTATGGCCAACTACCATTTCTAGCTGTATGGCCTATACTCAAAGAAACAGACTTGCAGGCTTATTTTATTTTATGAATGGTTGTCCAGAGATTTCCCATTGGATTCCAGCCCGTGCAGCTTCCTCCACATGCCACTGGAGGCAGCTCATTGTGCACACAGTTACCCACCCACAGGTATGCTCTCTTTCATTTCCTCTGACACCTACAAATAGAATGGCAGGAAGACTTCAAACACACAGAAAAATGGTTTGACCTGTGGGCTGAGTGCCTGCTGTTGGTTTTTTCAGTTCTGAGCTATATGGCTCATGCCCTGCAAGCTAATCAGTTTCTCCCTTCTGAAGTGGCAGGACTGACTCAGTATATCAGAAAGCACTTGAGATGGAAACTGGTCCCTACAGGCACTTATTGAGGGGGTGTGCTTTGGGGACATGCATCCCAAAGGAACCATCTGGCCCATGGCATGGACTTCACTGAAATACTGACTTAGCAAGGCCAGGAAATTCCTCTTCCAGGATGAGAGAATAAGAAAGATAGAAGGAGGTGGGGTAGGAGGAAGAAAGATAGAGAGAGGTAGAGATAAAGTTGATGATATAGAGATAGAGATAGAGAGACAGAGATAGGGAGATAGATGATAGAGATAGATGATAGATAGGTGATAGATGACAGATTAGATAAATAGATGATAGATAGATATAGATAGATAGATAGATGATAGATAGATGATAGATGATAGATGATAGGTAGATATAGATAGATAGATGATAGATGATAGATGATAGATGATAGATGATGATAGATATAGATGATAGATGATAGATAGGTGACAGATAGATGATAGATATAGATAGATAGATGATAGATGATAGATAGATAGATAGATAGATAGATAGATAGATAGATAGATAGATAGATAGATAGATAGATAGAAAGAGAGAGGGAGGGAGAGAGAGAGAAGGGAAGGCATTGCAAACAGGCAACAAGAAGGCCATTATGATTGAACTGAGCCAGAAAGGATACTTACTGCTGACTAACTGGCCCACGCTCAAAGCTGAAGAAGAGGAGGACGAGGAGGAGGAGGAGGAAGGCTGCCGGACAGGGTTTTGAGACATGGATGCTTGGCTGTGAGCAAGGTGCAGAAGGTTGCCTTGGGAGGCTGCTTGACCCACTGACGTCTGGGAGGGTTGGTGGAGCTACACAGGAGGATGTAAAAAAATACACAAGTGAATGAAAAAATAGGAGGAAAATGCCAGGGAACAGAAGTTTCATCTGGGGTTGACTCATTCTATTTCCAAGCATATACATTCAGGAAAAGTGAACATCCTCCTACACAACAGGCGGGATTTTTTTTTTGTATGCAATATGTTGCTGCTTGCTTGACAAACATTTTATTAGTTATTCTAAATATATTATTATCTCCCTACTTGGCTCCCTGGATCACCTAATTTTCTACATTTCCTGACTACCATGTGTAGCTTGACTCTTTCTGCCTGCTCATACAATTACAGCTTCTCAAGTGTATATATAGATAAACTATAATGCTTACGATCAACTCAGAATGCAAAACTCAGTTATAAACTTCTGACTGTGCTCAGCCATTTATCTTATGTAACTGGTTATTTTAGGCAAGTTCCAATTTAGTAAGGCTGATTGTACATGGGAACTTTCTGTTCTCCCAGGCCAAAGGGCCTGGGTGTCTTACTGTGGAGTAGGGAAAAAGGCTCTCTAATATCCTATAGAAATTTAAGTGAGAAATTGGGGCAGTCAGTACAAAAGTATCTATTAACATTTGTAGATCTCACTTGTCACTTTCTTACCCTGTGTCAGCACTACATTCAGGACTATCGTCCACTCTCTCATTTAATTCTCACTTTGCCTGAGAAGTGGGTTATTATTTTGACTGTTTTTTTACCAGCAAGGAAGCTGAGGCACTGAGAGGTTAGGGGTTTTGTAGGTTCATCTGGCAGATGTGGAGGAGCTGGTCTCTGGACATATGAAGTCTGACCCTGGGCTCAAGCTCTTAGTCCCAATGTCACAACAATTTACTTAATTTTTAAAATTTTGTGTGCCTTAAGGATGGCTGTCTTTATGTCCATTTATTCATGACTCCACAGGTTATCAAAGTACTTTTGTTCTGAGAGGTGAGAAGAGCTCAGCTGAGGAGAGGGAGAGAGGAAAGGGAAATGATTGCAGATGCAAGGTCCACATAAAGGTTTGGGAGGGATTTCTCTTGATCTGTGTCTTGCCCACTTAGAAAGCTGACGCGAAGGACAGTCCAGGACCCTGATCAGGTGCAGGATAGGCCTTAGCAGTGGCCATCTGCCACTTTTGTTAATTGGACATAGCATTTTTTGGCTTACAGAGTGTTCTTTTATAGTCATCACCACACTCACAGAAGTGTAGGGAGGTTTTTAATGAAAGGAAGTCAGCCTGGGAGTAGAATCAGACCAGGCCCTGAACTTTGGTGTGAGAGCCAACTACAAAACAGTCACCAATCTTTGACTACCTTCTCAGACTGTAAGAGCAAGCTGAATATATTTCTACTTCACATTTGCCATTGCTTTCCCAGTGTATGTGTGTCTGTTCATTTCTTTCACTGAATTTTATTGAGATATAATTTACACATAAAATACAATCCATTTCAAGCATACAGTTTGATGAGTTTTGTCAAAGGTATACCCCTGTGGAACCACCATCATAATTAAGATAAAGAACCTTCCCATTATTTCACAAAATTTCTTAATTCCCTTTGCAATCAGTTTTCCCTGAACTTCCAGACCCATGCAACCACTGCTCTGCTTTCTGTCTAGATGGACTCATTTGGCATGATTCTGGAAATGGAGTCGTTCAGGATGTATTTTTTTTGTACCTGGCTTCTTTTGCTTAGATACTATTTTTAAGATTCAGCCATTTTGTTGCAGATATCAGTAGCTCATTCCTTTTTTATTACTAAATAGTATATACAGTATATATCTATATCTAAATCTATGTCATAAATTTTTTACCCATTCATCAGTTGATGGACATTTGGATTACTTCCAGTTTGGGGCTTTTATGAATAAAGCTGTTATAAACATTTATTTACAATTCTTTGTGTATACCTGTGTTTTCACTTCCCTTACATACACACCTAAGAGTGGAATTGTGGAAATTACTGGATTGTACTATAAATGCATATTTCACTTTTAAAAAACTACCAAGGCAGTATTCGAAGTGAGTATAGCATTTTATATTCTCACCAGCAATGTAGAAAATTCTAGTTGCTCCACATCATTGTCAACACTTGGAAATGTCAGTTTTTTAAATTCCCTAAAATGTTTTTAACCATCAATTAACATTTTGCATTCAAACAATTGTTAGTAAGGTGCTACTTTGGAACTGTGCTTAAGAAGCTATTCCTTTTGTGGTTCCCCATCTTCATGCTTTTGCTCCCTGGATTCATATCACATCCCTATGTAGCAGATGTGCCTGGCATGGTTATGAGAATTAAATGGCTGGCCCAAGGCCATGTGGTCTGCTGAACATTAGAATCCAGATTCTTACCTGTAGTTCAGGGCTCTACAATGCTATCCTGTCTCCGTACGGAATTGCTTGCAGTTACATTTCAAGTGAACATCTTTATTGTTATAAGACTGTGTTAAGTGGAGGCTGGGTTGTGAACTAAAGTTAGTTATAATCTACATGGAATCCAAGTTAATATGCATCAAGCATCTGCCTAAAGTAATTAGCTGATCTGCTGAGCACATAATCAATAATTACATCCAGCAAATTTTGTTTTAGGAACACGCATTAAAGATTAAATCTATTTTAATTTGTTTAATAAGATGTGATGGATATTTGCATGCCAATCTTCCCCCTCTAACCTACTGAGTTGCTCTTCTAAATATTGTTACTAAACAAAAGCTTTTTACAGTTTTGAGTTACTGACTCATGAGATAGTCTTCAGTTTTACCACTTCTTCAATATTTTATTGGACCATCAAAGAACTGGACAAGACAATAATCAATTTAAATTTTTCTTCCTCAGACCAACTCAGTAAAGAAAAAATTACTAGGCTGCAATCTCACTTAGAAGTCACTAAAGCAAGCTAGGGATTATGCAGTTAGCTATGCAGGAGAAGGAATTTGAGAGGAAAATAAAATAGTTCTTTTAAGAGCTTGTTTTATGTCTACACAGTCAAAGAGAGAGATGAATCTAAGATATCTAAAAATTTAAGGAAGATATATTTCTTCCATAGGAAATAAATATATTTTTAAGGACACTGGGGTCCTGCTTAGCCTCTAGAGTTCAACCAGACAGTTCAGAAAAAACAGTAAAAATCAGAAACGTTTCTTACTTGTCAAAAATCAAAATTATATAAGAAGTAACATCCTAATGATGCCCATATATCTTCTTCAAATTGCCAGTGTAGACATGTATCTGTTAATTTCAAAATCACGTGTGAGTCCAGATAAACCAGCTTATTGTGCATATCAAAATCATCCCAGAGATTGACTTCTCTTTCATAACTTCTTCCCTCAAAAAAAAAAGGACATTAGAGGTAACGTTTCTGTTACCTACCATTCCTAAAACTGCAGTTCTTTCAGGTAAACTCTATAAATAGCTCTTTGATATTCTTAGTTTAATGATTTTAGTGCATTAATCTTCAGAAACATTTCTGAAGATTAATGCACTAAAGTACGTATACTGAATCCCGGAGTTGTTTCATGAAGTAACTTCAATCTCAGCATATATATACATACATACATATATAT